TATATATAAATTCACTAAATTGTGAGTTTCTTATATTAAAATTGACATTTTAAAAACATTAAAATCGGTTGTACCAATAGCTTCGATTAATAATTATCTATTAACAATTGCTCATCTCTCTCTAAATTTAACGCTAATATGTGAAAAGTATAGCATATTAAATTTAGCAACATATATTAATCAAATACGTATGACAACAATAATAGATAACAATATTAATTATTAATGAAATATTGGTCAATCGGTTAATTAGTAACTAGCAAGTGATCGATCGTAATTATAATAATCAAATCGGCTTATCCGACGTGATTAGAAAGAAACATATTGTATGTATCTTAATCCTTTGATTCTGGATTAAAACTTCTAAAAAATTGAATTATATTTGTATCGTATATAAATAAATTCTTTTATTACATTAAAATTAGCGATTTTGGATTAATGCATGCTGTTTTTAATATCTTACATTTATTTGAGAATAAAAGGGTTAAAGATACGAGTATCATTTATATAAATATATGTATTTATTATTTATATATAATAAGCCCAATATAATATATATCCGAACTGACATGACATGACGAGCACTGCTGCTCGCCGGTGCAGCTTTACCGTATAATCGCATTAATGTTAATGATCCTTTGTCAACGTTGCGTGATTGTAGCGGCCCATTTCGAAATGTTCCTTAAAAGGTGTGAAGAAAGAAAGACCATTTGATATTTTTTTCCTCTTTTATTTTGCGATGTGTATGCCAAGTGATTGTTTAAGAAGTCGATTAAGATTCGCGAAGCGCTTTTTAGATAGGAAAGAGAAAGAAACGACGAGAGATAAGAAAGGGAGAATGATGTCGGATATAATAAGAAGAAAATTATATTCGAAGCACGCACGAGGAGAGACGCTCGTTTTTTCTTTAATCTGTCGTACGATATTTTTTCCCTCTTTGTTATCGGCAGAATTTTTGTCTCACTGCCATTAGGAGAACAATGTTACACATTTCGATTAATCGTTTGTGAAAGTGTGTAAAGAGAGAATCGTTGTAATCGCACCCACCCATCCCCGCGCGAGACGCTGTAAATGATCATTGTTATAGATAAATTTCGTCAAGTTTGACGT